CATGTTTACTTCTATTTTCAATTAAAACAATTAAAGTCAAACATTTGTTTGCAAACGATCGTCGTTGGTGACATAATTATATACATAGTAGAATAGTCAGAAAAATAGCTATTTACATAGTTTTCATCACATTTTGTGCATTAAATAAATCGGGAGTGATCTCCCCTAATCTTTCTCGAACATTCTTATATAAAACATCAGGGGATGAGAACTCGGGATATAGTTATGATTTTTAATCCATTTTAAATACTTAAACTTTTAAAAATAGAATAGAATCTCATAAAAAAAAGAATTGCGCACCAAACGAACGCCGAATAAACATGTGTATAATAGTGCGGAATATTATTAGTACTTTATAAATTCACATGCGTTTTTTGAGAAATCGAAAAAAGTGAAAATTACTACTTCTGGTCAACGGAAATTACCCAAAATATGACAGATGGCAGAGAATTAGATCTTTCACTTATATGTGAAATGTCCTTTATCTATCTAAAATAGTACTCAAGTTATAGGCATTTAAAAAAATTGAAAGTAGAAAAAGTTCCACTTTCGTTTATCGGAAATCGCTCAAAGTTGATACGGATCTACAAAGTTGATATAATATCTATATATGAAATTTCATCAACCCAGCTGTAATGGTACACAAGTTATCGTGTTTACAGACACACACAGACACACAGACACACATACACACACGGACATACGAACAAGATTGCAAAACTATGTATTTCCGACTCAGGTTGCACGATTACAATACTTTCTATATACTTCGTATATACGAGAAAGTAAAAATGCAAAATGAAAAGGAAAACACAAAATAACAAGTCAATCGAAGTTGGTGTTGGGGTGAATGGGGGGAGGGTGGGGGTGGGTAAGAATCCTCCAAAGGTACTTTTTTTATTTCTTTTTTTTTATTTTTTTTTATTTTATTTTCCGCCTCAGACATGTAATTTACAGCGTCAGTTTGCCTAGCATGTTCGCTTTAGTATTACAGTTTTCATCATCGGCTTGTGAGGACTGATACAGCTTAACAATAGTAATACTTCTTTCTTACTTGTAGCCAACTTTCATTCATTTCAGATGGTTTACTTATAAATAGATCTAATACAAAACGTCTATATATATATATATATATATATATATAAATATATATATATATATATATATATATATATAGAGAGAGAGAGAGAGAGAGAGAGAGAGAGAGAGAGAGAGAGAGAGAGAGAGATAGATATATGTATATATATATTATACGTGTTGATTTCCACTTTTCGTATGGCGTGAAATTTGTATATGATCTAGTAGTACTTTTCATTTATTTAAGTCAATCATACGGAGTCTGATTATTTTTTTTAAACAATGAAAAAAAAAATCTGATTTTATTTTTTGTGTGTTCTATTTTTTTCATCAAAGCCTATAAGTCAAATGGATACAAATGACATTGACATCTTCGATCATTATTGTTGACATGAATAAAAAAAACATGTTATTATGATATTCCCTTTATAACTGTGCTAAAAAACGAAAGTCTGAAAAAAAAAATTAGAAAAATAATTTTACAGAATCTGTAATATAAAAGGTGCAAATGCAGAAAACGTGGTAGATCTATAAGTAGGAATAAGTTTCCTGAAATAAAGAACTTTCCAAAATAAATCTGCTCATATTTTAATTATTTTTTAATTAAGTATATTAACTTCTGGGTCAATTTGTTTTAATGTTTCGCGTCTGCTACTGCTACTGCTAATAATAATATTATAATATTATAAATTCTTTGTGCAAGTTAGGCAGTTTCTTATAATTTATACTACCCTACAAAGCAATAAGATGTCTTTAATAATGAATTCATTATTACGCGACGATAAGGAAAAAATCAAATTGTTTTTTACATATCTGTTTTTTTAGTTCAGTTACAGAAAACACTAAAAATTCAAATTCATCAAATCTTTAGTCAACATAAAAATAATCGATTACACTGTTTAAATCACAATGTTGTAATAATACTTGATTGTTAAAGTATTTGATTTGGCATTCGAGACAAATAAGCACAGTAACTTAAGTCTTAAGGATAGATTTAGATCTATAGATATCTATTATCAATTATTATTATGATTTTTATAAATGGCACACGTTTTTTACTCAAATCTTCTTAACAAAATTATTTGTCCCTTTGAGTGTGCAGTGGAAATATCTTATAATTTTACCTTTCAGATAGCATTTCGAATCTAAAAAAAAATTCATAAAAAACGTTTTAATAACAAGCTTTTATGTAACGATGCACTAAAAAGTAGAAAATAAATTATAGACTACTATTTAAATAACTATAAAGAAAAGCGTGGGTCACTTTAGTATCTATTGGATACCTTTACTAATGTTAAGGAAGACACCCACGCTTTTCTTTATAGTTATTTAAATAGTAGTCTATAATTTATTTTCTACTTTTTAGTGCATCGTTACATAAAAGCTTGTTATTAAAACGTTTTTTATGAATTTTTTTTTTCAGTACTTTACATGTTTTATTTACAATAGAGTTACATGACTAAAAACCATTGCGCGCCTACTGAACATCACGTTCAGTAGGCGCGCAATGGTTTTTGAACGCAGCCATTACGTGATGGCGCAGCTATTGAAGGTGATGACGCGTGTGGTGTGGTTGGCTAGACATGCCTACTAATTCGGTCCAAATTTTTATTAATTCATAAAAAATTAATTAGGCATCCAATTAAGTCAAATTTAGTTTCAGATTGCATTGTCTTCATGTCTTGACCCACGTGCCAACTGTGAATCGTATCGGTCAAGTAGAACTGTCCGAATTTTCACTCCTGCGTTTCCGTCTAGACAGACTGACGACAGACAGAGGAAGTGAGTTAAATAAAAGCTTGTAATAACATTCGTTTTTAGTTTACCGCCAGAAATAACAATAGCTATGTTCAACTATAATTGCACCGGAAACAAAGGCGCTTTATTGGGAATTACCGATATTAGAATATTATTAGACTACGACCGTCTTACACTACAGCTCAAGTTGAATACAACACTTCGTGTTTTTGTGTAATAAACAAGCACAACTTCAATTACTAAACAACATCTATTCACTAAATGGCCACTATTCATTTACAGTGTAGTACGAAAAACTAAATATATCTGAATAGTAAAATCTAAATAAAATTTACTTGGGTCGAATATAATTTTTTGTGACCGAACGAAAGGATATTTTTTTTGCGCTAAACAAAAAGACAACTATATTAACCTATATCAACGGAAATAGTTTTATTTTAACGAGTAGGCCTACACAATGCTAGTTTAAAATAGTAGTAAATATCCTATAAATATAAACTTATTTGTTCTTAATTAATTTTTTCTGACTGAACAAAAGTATATTTTTGAAAACTTTCTTCGGCAATATTGTTCTAAATTATAACAGGAATCGATTGGTAAATGTTTCAAGTCACTAAGTAGTCTGGTTGCCGAGATATGAGCCAAAAACTGCATTTTTTCGAGGTTTTTTGGCTTTTCCGGGATATCCAGAAAGGAATTCCGGGAATTTTTTTGGCCCTCAATCATCCTCGGAACTTGCTTAACATATTTGCTTTTGGAACTAGTCCTCGATATTGCTTCGTTGAGGAGGTGATACGACTTAAAGCTGCGCACATCCTTCCATCCATCCATACAGAAATGACGAGTTAATTATCGCGATTCCTGTAAGGAAATTGCGCTAAAAAGTAGTAAATATCATCCTATAAATATAAACTTATTTGTTCGTAATTAATTTTTTGTGACCGAACGAAAAGATATTTTTGAAAACTTTCTTCGGCAATATTGGTCTACATTATGGCAGAAATCGATTGGTAAATGTTTCAAGTCGCTAAGTGGTCTGGTTGCCGAGATATGGAGCGAAAACTGCATTTTTTCGAGGTTTTTTGGCTTTTCCGGGAAATCCAGGAAGGAATTCCGGGAATGTTTTTGGCCCACAATCATCATCGGAACTTGCTTAACATATTTGCTTTTGGAACTAGTCCTCGATATTGCTTCCTTGAGGAGGAGATACGACTTAAAGCTGCGGACACACATCCATACATACATACATCCATCCATCCATCCATCCATCCATCCATCCATCCATCCATCCATCCATCCATCCAGAAATGACGAATTATTAAACGCAATTGCCAGTATGGAAATTGCGCTAAAAAAATAATAACTATACTATTGTAATACAGGAACATGTAAATGTTGGTGATTGGAAAGATGCGCAACGAAAAATTTGAGTACAAAAAAAGTGCGCAACGGCATTTTTGTTCACTTAAATCTAGCATTTATATATAGACATTAACAAAAAGTGACTACATGTAAATTGTAGTTTAATAAAACATATTTTAACTAAGTATGAAACAATTTAAGTGAATTAAAATAACTGGTTTACATTTGTGAATTTTTCTGTTTGCGCAGTTTTCTTTTTTTTTCTGGGGACCGTGAATGTACACTCAGAGACACGCAGAGAAACTTAATAGTAGGCCTACACTGATCAGACTAGCTGTGTAACTCTATACTTGTGATAATCCACAAGTTGTCTTGAGATCAAAGGTCATGCCCCAGCCTTATCCCACCCTACCTCACCTCTGATAACGTTACATAACCTGACTAGAGCATACTCACTTAAACTCACCAGACCTAAACTTTATTATACTTACCTTACATATCCTAACTAGAGCATACTCACTTAAACTCACCAGACCTAAACTTTATTATACTTACCTTACATGACCTAACTAGAGCATACTCACTTAAACTCACCAGACCTAAACTTTATTATACTTACCTTACATGACCTAACTAGAGCATATTCACTTAAACTCACCAGACCTAAACTTTATTCTACTTACCTTACTAACTTCTAATCTACCCTATCTTACCGCAACCGTTCCTGTTTATTAACAATTAAAGTAAATAAATTTGAAAAATTGTAACACGCCTATCCTTATTTACTAAAAATACGTGTTTTATTATTCTATTGCAATGTACATATAACATGCAGTAAATGTGCTATCTTTTGAACACATTACAAGCAAACTATTGCATCAATTCTAAAGTAAAATAAAACTAAAGCTCCAACCTTAAGACATGAGATGCTCATAACGTTAACTTTTTATAAATTTAAAGAAACTAGCTCAGCTTAATAAAACCTACAAATTTATTTGTAGCTGATTTTTCAAGATAGGTCGCAAACTACATTCTTAATATGAGTCAAAAGGTTAACATTTTTTGAAACATGTTTATTAGTAAATTATTCATACAAAATAAAGCATTATATAAAAAACCGAATGTCATATATTCCCAGCATGCATGTGTTCGATGATACACCTCATACACATACACTTACTCTTCGGTTTTGATTTATATTTGATGTTATATGAGTCATGCAATCATACAGTTGATGATATAGATCAACTTTCACTTATACATGTAATGATATAGATCAGTCAAAATGTTTCAACTTCTTTGTAAATCAACGTGTACTTAAATTATATGTTATAAGAAAATGCATATTTCAATAGGTTTCATTGTTAAATGAATGTTTCTTAAAAAGAAATGTATTTATGTTTACACATAATTGTCAATCTATAATGAAAGCTTATAGTGCAGACGTTTGTTACCTATTCAATGAAACACACCAACACATTTTTTGCAATGAACTGACGTAATGGGACAATGGTGGTGAAGAATGGCACTGAAGTAATTAGCAGTTCTGTAAAAAAACAATTTTTCTATTGTGGAAAGATTTTTTGGTTGTATTTGACTGCATACCGTTGTAAAAACACACAGCTGGTAGGAAAAACAGACGTGATAATCATGTAAATAACAATGGCCATCATACAGGCAATCACAAGTGCAGCTCCATAGAGGCAATATTTGCCTACACGTTGGTGTGTAGTTTTAGAAAGTTCGTTGTCTGTAGATTGCGTCGAATCTGAGTTGAATATAAAGCCATTTGTAAAAGTCTGGTTTTTGTTTGTTTTTTCGTTGAAACTTTTCGTTTCTCCGGCATCGAATCTTGTAGCGGCTATCTGGTTCACAAGAGTTATGGCATCGAAATTTGACAAGACAAATCTGTTGTTCATAAGTTTAGCCAGGCACGCGTTAGTTGTGTCTTGGAGAGGAAGTACGGTCAGCAGCTCACCGAGGTGTGACCTGCGGAGTGTGATGTTGTCCTGGTCCAATGTCACCACGTCAACCGCGCTACACGACGGTTTTAGCCGATCAAATATTGTCTTGACCATATCTGTCGTGCTTAAACATTTCTTTGGTGTAGCCGCGAGATAGGAATCATCTGAACATGACCATTTTAAAACTGACTGCACGGAAAAATCGGCTTCGAACAAGAAGTTATTGTGGTTTAAAATGAATTTTAAGTCATCCAAAGATAGTTGCGTGAAGACGTTTGATTCTAAAATCTCCGAAAAATTGTTCACCATAAACTCTTTTACTCTAGTTGTAACGTCGATAGAATCCAGCAGCTTGGCATCGGTAAATATTTCCCAGTAGTTTTGTAAATTTATTCTCTCCTTCACGACATTTTCACAATCCACAATCAAAATTTTGATCTGCAGTTGATTGGATGCGTGCCACATTTCAAGCATGTTTTCTTCGTCTAAAACTTCCGTACCTTTGTAAATAACATCAAGTATCAGACCAAATATTTCTGGGGAGATGCCCTCTGTGGTACAGCTTGATTCAGATTTTTCTCTCATATCTGTCCTCATGAGAGCCTCAAAGAAACCAGAGCAGGAACTTAGGACAAACTTGTGACAGTTGAACTTGGTGTCACCAACGTTGACCGTAAAATCAGTAAAATTGTCCTTGTGTTTTTCAAAACATTTGAAAACTTCCGTAGCTACGTGTAAGCCGTCGACCTTACGCTCGGGATGAGACATTTCTGTGTTGGATGTTTGCTGTCTGGGGAATAAAATAGAGTTTTAAATGTTTTCATTGTAGTTAACTATAATAAATAACTCAACTTTGCAGTTAGGCATGGTTAAAATGTAAAATAAGTGTAGTTTACAGACTTAAATTAACTAGGTTACATACAACAACCGCAAATATGTGTGACTGTTATTTGAAGTTAGACAAACATTTGAGTTAAACACTAAAGTGACATTCGTTTCCTGTCTGTTTTTTTAGCAGAGGTCTATATATTTAATGATCTTTAACGTATTATGAGAATTTGTAAGTTTACACTTAAAATGTCAGCTTAAGGAGCAAACGATTAAGATTGTAGTGAAACTCAAAATTGAATTTGTATGAAACTTTAATTTTTAAGTGATTTTTTTTTAAGGAGATGAGCTGAAATTACAAAGATTTTTTAGAGAATTTTTATTATTTTAATCAAATCGAATTTTAGCTGGGTTATTCATTCTCTCTGACAAAGCTTAGACCAAGACCAAAATATACATCAAAACATCTATAAAACAATGTGGTCGGATGCCGATTACCGCTTGCTCAGATATGGTAGCTAGCAGGCACTATTGACCTTCGACGTCACCCTGATATTTGCTGCAGATTTTAATGCAAACGTTTAATCAACCTAGACTCCTAGACAGAAACATTTGTCGTAGCTTTTATGCTCAACGACACAAGCTTTTACCAAACCCTTATTAACACATTGATTGTAACGTTTCTGTACGCATTCACGATGTCTTATCGCTCCAACGTCTTATACAAACTTCTGAAAGCAACTAAATTTAAGCGAATTAAATATTACCTTTCGTTGTGTAGCCAGTGATAACAACGAACACGGTCAAAGATGATTGCACCGAAACATAATGGCGCTGTATTGGGAATCCCCGATTGGTATTATTACAGTGAAAACTTGTTTCAGTACAGCACAAGGTGTGTAAAATGCTATGACTGGCTTTGTTGTATTTAGCAAACAGAACTACAATAAATAAAAGACGCCATTTTGATGAGTGATTAAAAGTTATTTACTTGATAGATTGTCAACTCGAAAAACAGCGAGGTGTAGATGGATGTGAAGCATTTCCTCAGCCGTACAGTTTGTTATTGGCGAATCATTTACAACGCCTGCTTCCACCCCTTACCATGTTTACACTATACCCATTTAAGGAAGCTACTATTTGTCTGTATCGTCGTCCCTATACTTTTGTCGCCTGTGTGGTCGAATAATGGTCCTTGTTGTGTTTATGAGGCTAGCGGTCAGACCCATTCGCGGTTTAAAGGTCACGCCAGCCCGCGTCTTCCGTGCATAGGTTGTGATTGTGCTCTGCCATGAAAGCTTTATTTTTGTAGAGCTGATTGGCAGAATCGGTTACACGTCTGACTTGATGCATGGAGGGCGAGGCTATTTGGTGCCGTGTGGAATGGTAGGTTCGGATCCCGTTGGGTTCTGACTGTTCTGTCTTTACTTGGACTATATTCTGTAACTTTGTCTACCCTTGGCGTTGAAATATCACTTTCTGTTTACATTGCTATTTCAGTTACAACGCCTGCTTCCACCCCTTACCATGCCTGTTATGACAAAATTTTGCCTCTCATGGTAAAATTTATTTAATTGTGGCATGTTTTCTCTACGTTGTCTTCGTCTTACAACATTGACTTGACGTATAGACTCTCGCGTGTCACGATATCGCTGAAAACTATCTTTTATCTCCTTCTCTTAGCTTTTACCGCTGTTTTTTACTTTCTCGTATATACGAAGTAGGAACTATTGGGCTTGTAAGTTTATCGTTCTCTCTCGCGTTAATTCATGTGTGGTTAGCCAGGGAGAGATAAAAGTTTTCGAACTAAATCAATTGTTGTGAACGGGATTCCCATTGATAACAAAAATCATGGCGGCTATTTGTTAGTAGGCCCCGCTTCAAGATTTAAAAATCATCAAACGTTCCAGAAATGCAACAATTGTAAAAACTTTCAACGCTGTTTTGTTCATATTGTGACCTACTTAGGTCTGTTTGGCTTTATGTATATTTAATCTCCTGAGTTATGTATTTGTCCTTGGGAGAATTGTCAGTTCACTGGTACAACCCGGTCAACTGAACGCTGTCACATCATGTGATTGTAAGTTTAATCCCTGGCAGAAACTCAACCAATGGTCTTGCGACCGTGAGGATCCTTGACTGACCCTCAACCAATAGTCATAAACCTTTTGAGTTACTTCCCCTATTATTGAATGTTATTTAATCTCGGGATTTTCATGTCCAGGGGCAGCCATATTGACTTTGGGCCGGAGAGGTGTGCCAGTGGTTAGGTGTGCCATATTTTGAGTATTGTCATTATGTGACATTATTTTCACCTTTTGTATAAGGAATTATGTGACTAGTTGTAGTTTACTGAATTTGTGTTCTGGTATATTATTACACCTTTTTGACTATCGGTGATAGTTTAACCTGTATAAGGATTTCTATTGTTGTAGAGGCAAATTGTCTCTTCCTGGTTTTTTGTTGTGGTTATTATGATGCCAGTCAGTTTTGTGAAATAATGATTTATCGGTGTATAATATACTAAGCCACAGCTGTGATATTGTGATTTTTCTCAAACTGTAAGTTGGAGTTGAGTTTATTTATATTACACTGAGAATCTGTACATTTTGATCTTACCTAGTGTCATTATCTTGTACATAAATTAAAAAGGTATTCATAGTTTAAGTCGTGTGAGTCTCTTTGATTTGTCGTGATTTACGCCTAGACTGCATTAACGAGCTCACGGCAAGTTGTTGAGATTCCGTTACAACGTCTTCTATCGGTACGATACCAATCGAACCTGGGGTGTCCGCTCCTGACTGGCTGTCGGAGGTCAGACATAACAATATGGATGGGAACAAATACATGTGTATGCATTTCTGAATATAAAAGTTTTTTGGCGGTAAGTATATTCAATATACTATTGATTTTATTTCTTTGTTGATAGTTTGTCCAAGGCTAGGGGACATTACTCTGACTCTACTCAGTCTTTGAAACGAGACTCTCGATATCTAGATCTAGATCTCTACATTGCTTTAATCTAGTCTAGTTCTAAGAGTAAGTTCATGAATTAGAATTCATTAGATCTAGATCTAGTCTAGTATTTTAGTAATTAAATCTAGATAAAATATTAGGGAAATGATGACTCTCACTCTCACTCAGCCTACAACTTAATCTTAATCGAATCTAGATCTAGATCAGATATCTACTAGTCTAGATCTAGACTCTAGACTAGACTAGAGATGGAATCTAGATCTAGAATCTAGATCTATCTAGAATCTAGATCTAGCTATCATCTATCTACAATTCTACACATATAAATTATATACTTTGTAATGCTGTATTCATGCATCTTCTGTTTTAAGTAATTAAAAAACATTCATTAATGAAATTCTTTTAATTTTTTTTTTCAATTTTAAAAATGTAGTTCTGTTTTGTTGTTTGAAATCAATGATGAGTATACTGAACTGCCATTGAGATATTTACATAAATGCTATTGTTTATAGTTTAATTCTTTCAGAAGCAACTATATTGACATCAAAACTGAATCTTCATTGTACATTAAGTATAAAAGCTTACCCACAAACTAGTCCATGTCCTTATGTTTTATTGACATCCAAACATTAAATTTTTTTAAAGGTGATTTTTCTTAAATAAAACAGAATACGTTCATATGGGATAAGAAACATTTAGTTTTGAAATTGTTTGATTTATTACATTTTAATGGAGCTGAAACTAAACACAGGGTACAAATTTATTATTACTTTGTTTCTCAGAACATTGCAAATTTTGAACATAAGAACTGTGGGAAGTAGGTAAAGATGTTAAAATATCTCTTGAAGAAATTGTGGAAGGTTTAGAGATAGAAAACAACATTTCAGAAGATGATGTATGAAATAATAGTAAAATATCTTTGGCAGTGGTCACTTAATTAATATTTTCATTAGACAAATCACATTTAGGTATAGAAGAATAAGGTACGTCTTCAGATTTTCTTATCAGCAAAGATCATGGGTGATTCTCTTTGTTACCATCAGTCAAACGACAAGCCAATTCCGGAAAATTCATTGGGCAGCTAAATATATTTAAATTAAGTTCATGCAAGGCTTTAGAAACATTAATTGGATGAAACTCTGTAATTTCATTAACTTTTTATTACTATCAGTTCCAAAGAAATAATACAAATAAGTTACACATCATCAATAAATTAAATTTCCATTTCACCAAACTTTCTCTAAGTCATAATATATTTTAAATGCATGGTATTTTGTTAGTCTAGATGTGTTGACTTTTATTTACCACAATTATCTGATAATATAAATGAACAAATAGGCCTAATAATAATAATAATAAATTTCGAAGAATCTAGATTCTAAATCTAGAAGAATCTAGTTTGTGTCTAGATTCTAGATCTACAATTACTGCATAATTTACATTACTAGATTCTAGATCTAAATTACTACAGTTCACTACTCTAGATCGAGTTCTTAAGTTCTAATCTATAACAAGACTACACTCAACTCCACTAGACCTAGAATAATCTAGATTCTATATAAATTTATGTCAGAGGTGTAGTGAGATCGATATGGGGCGGGGGATGCGGACCTGACCGGGTGTCACCACTTAGGGGGTGACACCAATGCAAAAATAGCAATATATACACAATAAAATGATAATTCCACTTAATTTAGTGATTAATTCGAGTGTTAAATAGTCTTCTAAAAGGTACAAATCGAAAGTTGGAGGGGGGAGGTGCAAATCGAAAACTGAAAGTTTGTCCCCGGGAATGGTCGCTACGCCTCTGGGAGGTGACACCATTAAGTGCCGCACCGGGTAACTCCCGACCACGCCACTGATTGATATTGAAAATATTCTAGTCTACTTGTCTTAAAGTAAGTAGCCTATTTAATAGGCCTAATTTAGTAATTAATTCCTAATTCTTAAGTCTACAATCAACTACACTGTAAAATAAAAGAAATTAGATCTAGAATCTAGACTACTCTAGAGTCTATAAATAAAAAAAAATCCTGTATGTCGTATGTTACTGTCTACGTCGGAATTTTCAAGAGGACTTTTTTTAGTCATAGATCGAGATCTAGAAATCTAGACTCTAGATCTAGGCTATACTTAATAATTAAATTTAGGCTTGATTTACGGTTGAAATCTTTTATAAATCTCATATTTTATTTTAAAAAATTATTATTATTATACAGGGTCTAGTCCTACGTCAAAAAACATGTGTATTCTAGATCTATCTATATAAAATATAATATATTTGTGTGTGTGTGTTATGTTAAAATTAATTTACTTAAAACAACTCATCGTCGGAGTTTGTTTTGATTCCAAAAGCGAAAGTAGATTTTATAACTTAAAAAAAATATTCACATTTGGTTTGAAAAAAAAAACGCTAGCTGGCAACTACCGGAGCAAGAACTTGGTAAGCTACTTTAACAACTTAGTCTTACAAGCCCAATAGAGAAAGTATTGTAATCGTGCAAAAAAATAGAGATTTTTACAAATCTCGACGTTTTACACCTCCCTGAGTCGGAAACACATAGTTTTGCAATCTTGTCCGTATGTCTGTGTGTGTGTGTGTATGTGTGTGTGTGTGTAAACACGATAACTTGAGTACCGTTACAGCTAGGTTTCATACATAAGTATAATATCAAAATCGTAGATCCGTATCAACTTTTGAGCAATTTCCGATAACCGGATGTGGAACTTTTTCTACTTTGATTTTTTTAAAAGCCTATAGCTTGAGTACTATTTCAGATAGATGAATGAAATTTCACAAGTAAGTACAAGATCTAATTTTCTGCCT